GGCAAATTTTGGGGTACAACAGTTGCCCCTGTTCAATCTTCTTGAACCTGAAGAGTTAGATTGGCAAGTTTGTCGTTCGCGACTCGAAGGTAAAAGGAGATTGGACACTAGAGTGCCCAAAAAATTTGCACTTGTCAAAGCGTAGTTGATGGAATGAGCTTAAAGATGCCATTTGGTGATGGGCTTAGAGATGCCATCTAGGGATGTGACAGAATCTTGTCGGGGATGGGCTTAGAGATGCCATCTGGAAGTTGTTGGTAGGAGGATGGGCTTAGAGATGCCATCTGGAATGTATGTTGAACTGTATGTCGTTGGTGAGTGGATGAGTATCAGACAGGTATCCATGTTTTAGAACATCTCTGAACTGGGGGTCTGAATAAGCAATAGATTGACATCCGTATCAGGAAGCATCCGTAAACTGTTTTCAGAAGTTGAAGAATATGAACAAGCGATAGGTTGACATCCGTGTCTGGAGAACCCGTGAACTATTTTCAGAAGTTGAAGTTGAATAAGCAATAGAGCAGCATCCGTTGTTGGGAAGCGTCCGTAAACTGTTTTCAGAAGTTGAAGTTGAATAAGCAATAGAGCAGCATCCGTTGTTGGGAAGCGTCTGTAAACTGTTTTCAAGAGTTGAGTCTGAACAAGCGATAGATTAACATCCGTGTTTGGAGAATCCGTAAACTGTTTTCAGAAGTTGAAGTTGAATAAGCAATAGAGCAACATCCGTTGTTGGGAAGCGTCCGTAAACTGTTTTCAAGAGTTGAGTCTGAACAAGCGATAGATTAACATCCGTGTTTGGAGAATCCGTAAACTGTTTTCAGAAGTTGAAGTTGAATAAGCAATAGAGCAGCATCCGTTGTTGGGAAGCGTCCGTAAACTGTTTTCAAAAGTTGCATATGAACAAGCGATAGATTAACATCCGTGTTTGGAGAATCCGTAAACTGTTTTCAGAAGTCTTGGAGTTGAAAAGGAACCGGTGCAGGGTTTCCTGATGATGAGTCCGTGTAAAACTGCATCTGAATGAATCTGGAATAAGTATCAGAATGTCGCCATGTCTGGGTCACATCTGAACTATCTCTGGGTGAATCTGGAATAAGTATCAGAATGTCGCCATGTCTGGGTCACATCTGAACTATTTCTAGAAAGAATCTCGGAAGATGAAGATCTTTGTCTGTTGACTGATCTTTCCTGAAAAGGTAAAGAGTTACTTGTATGCAATGTCATGATGCATGATGCAATGTATGTTATATCAATGTTTATGATATGAATGTGATGAATGCGCATGTAAGCTGGTGAGCTGTCTTGTTGAGGATAGATGAATCCTGGATGGCTGGAGATAAAAGAATCTTGACTGCTGCCGGGGAAAGTAATTCCTTGACTGCTGCAGGGGATTGAAAATCCTTTGATCGTTGAAAATGAGAAGTCCTGGGACCGCTGTTGGGGAATCAAGAGCTTGGGTTGTATGCCAATCTACTGGGGATTCCTGCCTTGAGGAGATCTTCACTGGGGAATATTTGAATACTCTGTGAGGAACTGAGAATGAGAGTCTTCATTCTGCTTGGGGATTGATAGTTGGAAGTTTTAGCTCCGCTGGGGATTGCAAGAATCTTTTGATTGCTGCAGGTATTGATCTGGGATCTTGAAAAGGTTGGTCGGTGAGATAGTTGTCCTGGCTGGTTTCAGGTATTAATCTCTGACTTTGAGAAAGAAAGATGGTTTTCCTGGCTTGTTACAGGTATTAATCTTCAATCTCTTCATGTAGATGGTTTCCTGGCTGGTTTCAGGTGTTAATCCATAATCAGTCGTCCACAGATATTTTCCTGGCTTGTTACAGGTATTAATCTGGAACTTGGGTTATACGCCACTTTGAGAATGAGAATCTTCATTCTGTTGGGGGTCAGAAATTAGGAGTATACCAATCTTCTGGGGTTTTAAGGATGAGAGTCTTCATTCTGTTAACAGTCAGAAATCGGGAGTATACCAATCTTCTGGGGTTTTAAGGATGAGAGTCTTCACTCTTGAGTGTCAGAAATTGGGAGTATACCAATCTTCTGAGATGATGAGAATCTTCATGCTGTTAACGGTCAGAAACTGGGAGTATACCAATCTTCTGAGGTTTTAAGGATGAGAGTCTTCATTCTTGAAGGTTAACTGTTATCTGGTCGTAATCCAGGCTTCACAGAAATTGCTAAGCTGTTATCCGGTCACATCCGGGCTTCACGGCTTGTGTTAAAGATATACCACTATCTGGTCGACTCCAAGTTTCGTAGTATTCTTGGCTGCTATCTGGTCGTAATCCAGGCTTCACAGAAACTTGTATTGTCATCTGGTTGTAATCCAGGCTTCACAATAGCTTGTTAAGCTGCTATCCGATCAAATCCGGGCTTCACGGCTTAGGTTAAAGATATACCACTATCTGATCGACTCCAGGCTTTGTAGTATTCTTGGCTGCTATCTGGTCGTAATCCAGGCTTCACAGAAACTTATATTGCTATATGGTCGTAATCTAGGCTTCACAATAACTTGTATTGCTATCTGGTCGTAATCCAGGCTTCACAATAACTTGTATTGCTATATGGTCGTAATTCAGGCTTCACAATAGCTTGTTGGGGATTAAACTATTATCCGGTCGAATCCGGGCTTCATAGCTTGCTCTTAGGAGATACCACTATCTGGTCGTAATCCAGGCTTCGCGGTGGTCTGATATTGTGAATGAGTGACAGAATGGTTGCCGTGTCTGGAGCGTATCTGAAATTGTATCTTGGAGTAGAGATCTGTATGAGTAGCAGAATGACTTCCTTGTTTGGAGTGTATCTGAAACTGTAACTGGATCTGAATGAGTGACAGAGTGGCTACCGTGTCTGGAGCGTATCTGAAACTGTATCTTGGAGTTGAGATCTGTATGAGTAGTAGAATGACTTCCTTGTTTGGAGTGTATCTGAAACTGTAACTAGGATCTGAATGAGTGACAGAATGGCTACCGTGTCTGGAGCGTATCTGAAACTGTATCTTGGAGTTGAGATCTGTATGAGTAGCAGAATGACTTCCTTGTTTGGAGTGTATCTGAAACTGTAACTAGGATCTGAATGAATGACAGAATGACTACCGTGTCTGGAGCGTATCTGAAACTGTATCTTGGAGTTGAGATCTGTATGAGTAGCAGAATGACTTCCTTGTTTGGAGTGTATCTGAAACTGTAACTAGGATCTGAATGAGTGACAGAATGGCTACCGTGTCTGGAGCGTATCTGAAACTGTATCTTCTAACAGGTGATGAAGGAATTGTTGCACACTTTTGACATTCGAATGCCCCAAGTGATGATGAAGGAGACTTGCCCCAAGTTCACTGAACTTTTGAGAGATTTGTTGAAATCTTGAGTGGACTGCCCCAGGTTAACTGAACTTTGAAAGATCTGTTGAAACCTTGACTGGACTGCCCCAGGTATGCTGGATAGTGACATGTCATGCCCCCGTGTTGATAGGAGATTTGTCAATGGAAGTGTCATCCTTTTTGAAGTGATTTTACTCACTGAGAGAGTTTTCGTTCCTCCGAACATTCGCTGTAGGAATTTCTTCGCTGTTAAACAAATAGCCACATACAAACAAGGATATTCAAGCAATGCAAAGTTTATGTTTGTCTCGAAGTTTTGAAAAATGCGTTTTTTAGCAGAAAATTTTTCATAAGACAAAATCAACACAAGATTTAGAGCAAAGCCTTACAGGAGTCAGGATACCTTTTGTAACAGTATGCTTTCGAACTAACCCGTGCTTCAATTAGGACTTTTGAAGGGTTGTAACTTGGCTTGGTTCACGGTTTAAGAAACAAAGGATAACGGCTCAAAGTATATTTGTACCCACCCGCTCTTCGTGATGTCCTTCAGTCCTAAACTCAGTCAATTGCGCGTCGCACTCTATTCGAGTTTGGAACGACTTTTGGGTGATGGTTCAACAATTGAATTTATTGGGAAGGCAGTCATTATCTCCTTTTTCTTTTGCAACATTTTTCATGTTGTTGAGGATTTGTAATGACCTCTTTCTTTTGATTTGTTATCCCTAACTTTTGCCTGACTGTTCCTATTTTTGAGATCACAGTCAGCGGGATGCCCCAGCTTTCTTAAGCCTCCTTTATAGGTTTTGGCTCAGTGGGCTTTTCTCTTTTGAGAGATTGACTGCTTATGAGATAAGGAACCATCACTGTCTTTTGATTCCAAAGGAATGTTTTTGATGTCATTCGTTGTATTACGAACTGAGAGTTTGCGACTTCAATGCACATCTTTTTTTTTGAATTAACTGAGATACTACCCTGCCCCAGGTTTAAATCAAAGGTTTTAAATTGTTTAGAACAGAAAACTCCTACTTCTTTGGCTCGAAGGGGTTGACTAGGGATTATCTTCCTTATAACTTCAGTGTTTGGGAATTGAAAGAAATGTCTGTACATCATTAGCAAGGTCTGTTCAAAAGCATACTGTATGAGATTATGGTATTGTTTCGTCATCCTCCCTCTAAAGGCTTGTAGCTTTTTATCAAGAGTTAAATATCATAAAGAAAGCATAAGAGTAGTGAAAACGAATGGATGAATTCAAGACAAACATATGCAATGCATTAATGAAACAGAGTTTGACATTAAAAGATAATTGTTTGAATAACAAAAAGATTACAACTTGAAAATCCAAATGAAACAAAAGTATCTCAGTTTGAGCTTTGTCACTTCAAGTGGAGAAACCCTTAACGGAAGATTTTCATCTCGCCATCTGGCATGAACCTCAGCACTCCAATGTCAATCAGATCTTGAATCTTGTTCTTCAAGGCCCAACAGTCGTCGGTGTCATGTCCCGAGCTATAGGAGTGGTATACACAAAAGGCGTCGGGATGATAGTTAGGAGCGGAGGTATTGGGCTTCCGAATAGGATCCCTCAAAGCAGTCAGATTGACCTCCAACAAGCGCTCCAGTATTAGAGATGACGGTATGTCAGTCTCAGTGAACTGTCTTCCCGACGTATTTTACTTACGCCGATTACCCTGTTGATGCTGACGAGGTTGTTGGTGGGCTTGTGACCCTGAAGCAAGTAGAGGAGCCTTCCCCTTGTCTTCTTGTCTGGAAGGGGGTTGAATGGTGACTTGCTCTTCAACCTCAGATGTTTGCCCCAGTTGGTTGTCCCGAAGCAGTTGGTTGACGAGAACTCTGAGTTCCTCTTTTCTTTGAGCCAAGTCCTGGATGAGAGCCATCTGGCCCACCAGTTTCCCCATCATTTGGATCCTCATTGTAGTCAGCTCAGACTGCAGTGCTTCCAACTGATCACTCCTGGCGTTGCTTGAATTCCCCTGGACCATGCCCCTTGTGAGGAGAGCTTTCACTTCTTCTTGCCCCAGAGACAGGTTCAAGAACATTTCTTGAAGTTGAGCATTTTGATCTTGGATATCCTTGACAGTCCTCTCTAGAGCCATCTCTTACTGAAATAAATAGTAGGAGAGTAAGGAAACCTGAAAAGGAAAAAATTGTTATGATGTAATGCATGATAGGTGGATGCATGTTTTCAAGGATCTCTTGGGGTAAACACAAAAGAAAGTTAGAGGTTGAACTTCGATCTTTGATTGGAGAACTTTGCACCGGTGGATGTCTTTCCACAAGAATCAAGCTCACCATGTCAAGTGGGTCATAGCCCCTGATTCAAGTTGTTGCACTTGATCTTTGATGGCATTTGTTTAGAGGAAAACACCTCTTGCCCCTTGGTAGACGTCTGGTTCAACGTGACCCTGCATCAAAAGAACCCTCGAGATCCTTGAAATGGTTAGTGAAAAATGCTATGGTATGATGTCATGATGTTATGTACATGTATGCAAAAACAAGCAAGTGAGTGTATATACAGGTAATCATATTCACACAAAGCAAACAAGTCATTAGGTTTAGGCTTGCATGGGGTTGTAGGTAAGTACCCTCTTGAAGTTAGTTGGTTCATCCTGTCCTAAAATAGAAACCGGGTTCTAAGGAGCTCAATATCATTGGATTATTTTCTGTGTTCATTGTTTTGGTTTAGCCACTTAACTGGCGACCAAAATATTCCAAGAAAACAACCCTTAATGAGTGTAGTATCGAGTATCTACCAACTTCGGACTGCACCAAAGTCGGTCATCTCACTACCCCTAAAAAGGCTAAGATGGTCAATTAAGGTTCTAAGAGTTCGTTAGTGCTTCACGACATCACTCAGCGGCCTCGTACTCTCCTTGATTGAACTCAAGGGTTACCGGTACTCACAAATATGTCACACTAACATATCTTACTGCTTCAACCATGTCGGTATACCCCGCACAGTTCCCTCACAGTTTTATTGCTATTTACCTAAGAAGGTGCCCCAAATCCGGGTGTAGGATTTACAACAAACCCAAACAAGGATCCAAAAAGTAAAGCAATCAAGGCAATCAAAGCAAGTATGTAAAGGTGATCTAAACCCTAAGGTAACCCCACTTTTAAATTATTCCCCAGCAGAGTCGCCAGTTCTGGTGATACGGTGGGAGAACTGACTTGAGGTTTTGCGTTTGTATTCGCATTTGTTCGGTTTAGCAAGAGTCGCCACCGACTTTTTATTTTATCCTAAAGGAAAGGTTAAAAAGCACAGGAAAAACCTTTGAGATGTTTTCGTGGGTTCGGGGGGTAGATTATGAAAAGGGAAGGTATTAGAACCCTTTTCATCCATGGTTATCCATGGGCTCTTAGTTACTTGTTTTAGATCACTTGCCTTTGATTTTCATTTGCTTGAAATGGTGGTGTGTGTGTTGAAAATGTTTTAAAAAAGATGCCTTGTCTAGGCAACCGTTGTAACAATTCTTTACTCGAATGTTTTCGTTGGGCTTAAGGCATTTGATGGGGCGAACCGGCCCAAGGTATTTGACAACATTTTCTAAGGGTTTGCATTGTTTTGTTTCATTTTGCAATTAGGGTTACAGCTTACAGAGGCGTCGTTCCCTTCATCGTCTTCGTCTTTCTCGCTCAAACCATGGATTTTGACACTTCTCTCCGTCCCAGATGCCAGGCGCCACCATCAACTCCTCCTCTCTCCACGGTCAAGCAAGGTGGCATTACGAAAAGGTTTGATTTCTTAGTTATGTACGTTTTACGCTTTGCATGTTTTTAATCTTGACAAATTCTGATTTTTTTTTTATGTTATCATTGTTTGTGTGAGGTATGAAAGAAAATGGAGAAAGAAATAAACCTTTGGAGAGGAGACGGAGGAATGAGCTGGAGGTGCTTTAGGCGGCCGGGGGCGGGGAACGCGTGATGTTGTGTGCTTTGTGGCCTTCCCTGGTATTTGTATTTTGCCTTTGGTTTTATGATGATATCCCTGAAAACCTTTGCCTATTTGCTTCTTTTCCTCTTCTTCTATTTGCCTGCTTGCTCTGATTGCTTGCCTCTGAATACTTGTGTGCTTAGATTCTGAGTTGCCTTTGATATCTTGGGCTTTGGCTCGCTCAATGATGAACTCAGTTCTGAGAGCTTGGGATTTGTTTGATTCTGATAACTTGATGATATTGTTTTTGACTCTGAAATGCTTTGAGGTTGGATATTTGGCTTGGTCTTTAGCAGGCTACTGACTTCAAGCTTCAAGGCTTATCAGTTTGCTTGCTTATTTGGGTCACAGGCTGGCTGTTGTGACAGGTTTTATAGGCAAACGATTTTAAGGCAAGCTTAAACAGTTTTTTCTGGTTTATGAGGCTTGTATGTTGCAGGATGTTTAGGCTTTGGCCACAGGTTTGTGGTTGAATGTTTATATGGTTTGAACAGTTTTGATTTGTGGGGGTTTAGGCCTTGTGTTATTTGTTGTTTGAATAAGTTTGGAGGGTTCTACCTCCTTTCTGGTTTTGATGCAGGTGAAGGCTTAGGCTTGATATGCTTGTATTGATGAAAACAGGTTACAGGCTTGGCTTGAGCTTCAAACCAGCTTGAGGCAGCTCTGGTTTGTTACAGGCTTGCTTGAAACAAGCTCTATGCAGGCAAGCAGCTTTGAGGCTCTTTTTTGAGGCTTGAGGCAGGCTGTTTGCTTAAGCTTCTGGTTTGTATTACAGTTTGTGGTGAGCTTGTGTTTTCTCTATGTGTTGGTTCTGCCTCCTCCTTTTTCTGTTCTGGTATATCTTGTTATATCTTTTTTCTAAGCCTCAAGCCTGTAAGCCTCTTCTCTCTCTCTCTTCTCTCTCTCCACAGAAAACATATTATATTGTTTAAATCTGTACTTTCTGAAAAAGTGATTGGCTTGGGAAATGATGATTTTTTGAATATGGCTTGCATAGTTTCTTTCCTCTGCATATTGTACTTTCTTCTTTTCTTTGATGACAACTTGATATCTTTTGATATCTTTGGACAGTTTGGTTGACATCTTTTTGGCAGCCTTTGGACAGTTTGTTTGACATTTTAGACTTGGTTTGCTATGTGCAGTTCAGTTTGGACTTTGGTTTGGATTTGTGTAACTTGTCCCTTTGGCTATTTTGAACTGTGCAGCTTATTTGACATTTTGAATTTTGTGCAATTTGTTTCTTTGGCATTATGCAGCCTTGTGCATTTCCATATTTTTTTGCAAGCATATTTCTCTTTCCCTCTTTGTGAACCAAGAGTATTTCTTGTGATTTGCAGAGAGGGTGAACCACTGATTCCGGCCAATCACTTTTAATGATGAGTCTTTAAATTAACTGTCTGTTTTTGATTTCATCTGCATTTGACTTCTTCCTTTTCTTTGTTTTTGCAGATGAAAATCAATTGAGCAATGGAGAGCATCAGTAGAAGATGAAGACTTAGGAAAATTAGGATGCAATTTTATTTTACTTTTAATCATTGTAATAAATATTATTATAAATACTTGTAAATAATTACTGTATTTAAATAACACTTGTACAAATAATTAAAAATAAATAAAAGTCTTTTTATTGTCAGATATCTCTTTTATTTCAGCTGTCTATTTAATTATTTAAGCTTTCTTGAATTAAAATAACTGGAAGTAAATCCAATTATTCTAACTTAGATAAAATAAATAATTAACAAACATTGTAGTCTTGCAATCAATAATAACCTGGCGTCCCAATTAAACATAAGCAATGCACAGTCAAATCCAACAAACATCCATATTCCTTTGCCTTTACTGATTAAACCAAACACTGCAAGTTCTTAATTCAAATGCCTTAGCTCATATCCCAAAGTAAATTGAAAAGAACTGTAGAATTAATTCTTTCTGAGAATGCGCGCACAAACCCTAGTTCTTGATTTAATTTTCACAGAAGCGCTTGCCTGATCAAACCCTGAGCCAAACTCAACCAAATCCTAATAATCTGCTTGAACTGTTCCAGAGTCCATGAAAACCCTAATTTGGATAGACTGATAAGAAAAAGTCTGTTTGACTGATTCTTACGCCAATCTGAAAAATCAGGAAAAGCCCGAAGCTGTGATTTCTTGTGGAAAAGAGAGGGCAAATTTTGGGGTACAACACCAGCATATTCAGAAAATGCTCAACAGTATCCTGTTCCAGAAGCCGTGATCCCGTACAATGGGAGATCTACATGGTACTTGGTTCTTATATGTGCGAAAGCTATGCTGAACCTTTGACCTGATGATACTCACATGATTCCGAACAGTGTAGCAATCATATTCATAAATTATGGAACCTTGATCCCATGCCTTTGCATACATAACATGGTTAACCGCATGCTTAACATACATGTTCTATTATTTCCAAGGAATCATATTTGCAAGCCTTGTGTTGAACCCTTCCATCCCTTACTTACGCAAAATCAAAATCAAAGCACGTAAATTCCTTGGAAATGACAGAACATGACATGGAATTCATTCATGCACGCCATGCATATTCATACATTCATAACAGGTACTCGAAGATTGGGGATTCTTATTCAGACCTGGGGTTATCTTCAAAGGTTCAACTTGATTTGTCACCGCACATGCTCAGGGATCAGTTATGGAATAACTCCGAGTGGTACATGCAAGCTTTGGTTCATGGTCAGAAATCTCTTCAAGAGGGAAGATAATTGATTGAAGATTCAGATGAGCCAAGTCATGGAAGCTCTGATGATGTCAACAATCTTGCACCTATTACCACAATAGAGGGTCTCTCTTCCCCTCGTCTTTTAGGGAACACTTTCAACCATGGAGTGCTACACAATCTGAAGTTCTTGGAGAATCTTATCAGCAGATGGTTCACATTTACGGTGAGATATTACATCAGTTCTCCATCCTTGTTGACCAACGCCAGATGTGGTTGCTACACCGGGGCATCCAACTATTCAATCAGGGGCATTCTCCACAGCCTTGCGTTCCATGATCTGTTCAACAACAGTCAATCTTCATTCCCCTAGTGAATTCAAAAAAAGATTTTAAGCCAAGACAAAAGAAGCATGATGAACATAGTTAAAAAATACTACGCATAAGAGACCCGCTAGGTTGACACACCTAGGCAAAATAAGGGCATCCCGGCAAACCAAAAGGTTTGGGCAAAAATTAGGGATATATGAAAAAGACTGTACACCCGGCAAGTTGAAAACAAGAAAGGGCGACTTGGGCAAAAAAGGGTATCCTGGTGGACTGAAAACCCGAAAGGGCGGTCCAGGAAAACATTAAGGATTAAAAACGTATGACTATGTCCCGTGGACTCAACACAGACAATTTTATCACCAAGGTCCAAGTTCAAACGTTCCAAGATCAATCCAATCAACTTCTATCAACGGCAAGGGACATTCGAAGACATTGGGGGAAATAGTAGAGTTGGAAGCCAATGAGATCGTTTCACATGGCTATTTGTTTTTATTCTCAATTTTGTTTTCCTTTCGACAATTTCCTCTTACTAGGATCTCCGTCTCTCTATACAAAAACGCCTATTCATGGGAAAAATATCAATACAAATATACTTTGAAGTGTAAAAAATTTGTCTTTGTTTTAAATGCAAATTTGTCCAATGATTAAAATTGAATGAACATATGCCTATGAACATAATTAAAATTATTTGGCACACATGACCTAAGCAGTAACAGGAATATCTTTAATGAATATGGAATACCCCCACAAATTTATTTCATTATTTTCCTCCTCAACAAAGTTACTAACAAAGTCTCTTTGCATAGGAGAATCCCCAACCAGAGTCTCAATCTCTTGGCAGCTCTCTCTCTCCAGCTAAAATCGAATTTTACAAGTTGAAGCCTCGTGGATCTCTTCCTAAAAGAATGTTGAATATTAACATTTCTAACCTAAATGAATCCCCAACCAGAGTCTCAATCTCTTTGCAAGTTGAAGCCTGCGTGAAACCTAGAAGACATCTATTATAAAAGCATGTTGAATATTAACATTTCTAACCTAAATGAAACACAAAACGCTTGAAACCTAAAGACGCTTGGAAAAGTTCTCTATGATGGATTGCAAGAGAAGAAAATTTTATGGGTTTAAGGTTTGTTTTCTTAAATATTTATTTGAACCAAAAATCATATATTTGAATATTGATTTTAATTATCTTATCTGTTTTTTTCATCAAAACCAAATGCATGCAAGATTTGTGGAGAATAATCTTACACCCAACATTTGATCTTCACTGAGATTCAATAATTTGAAAAACTAAAATCTAAATATTCATGGAATTTGATTTTTGTCTAGATCTCGAGATAATTTGATTTGATTTTACTATTCTATGTAAATAATATAATATTCTGGGTAAACAATGTAACAATGTAACTAGTTATGGTTTCTAGATAAATCGAGAGATAAGATACGCTAGTTTTGAAAATAATAAAAGTGCGGCCGTTGGGGTTCGAACCCATGTGCATATAACTTTACCCCTCAATTTTTTAATCACTGAGGTGTTAAGTGGAAAATTTTCATGACGTCATTCATTACTTCGCTTCTTTAGTCGAAGTTAAATGCATTTCGCGTCTAAGGTGAAATGTGTTTTTTATAGTAGTGTTAGAAAAATCTTGAATACCAAGTTGTATGGGATATGCTATTGTATCTCCTTATTTATTCTATCCTTCATAAGTTCTAGAACTATGCTAGGTGGCATCTGAGATGAATTAAATATGCACAGTATTGTAAATCCTATCCTCGGCTAATTATGGTTCATTGAACCCTGAGTAAGATCGTAGAATTACGCTAGGCGTCAGATAATTAGGTGAAAAGTGACTAGTGGCTATTTTATAGCACCAAGGGACTTGTAGTCACAAGAGATTGTATATGTATTTAACATATATTTATACAGGGAAATGGATATTGACGGGGAAAACATGGATTTATATCTAGTATAGGAAAATCTTGGGGTACTAAGTTAAGTAATTCGACGCAAAATGGGGGTGGACTATTGCCTCTTCCTTATTTATTCTAGCTGGCTTAAGTCATATAACTATGTTAGGAGGTAGTTAAGGTGAATGCATATGTAAAGTGTGTTAAATTCTATCTTAGACTAGTTATGACTTATCTAACTCTGAGTAAGACCATAGAACTATGATAGACGTCAAGTGATTAGATAAATATTGACTATTTTATAGTCTTAGAGGAATTTTAATCCAAAGAGATAGATAGATGGTATCGCTAATTTATGGAATCTATTATTAGAATATAATGTCCATAGTTTGAACTACAACCATGTTATTATACATTTTAACAGGAACATCCTCACTAACTGAGGAACATTACCTCCTTAACAAACACATAGTCTGCACCCATGACACAGAAATAGAACAACATAATATTCTCTGTAACATTTCAACAAACTCATAGTATGCACCCGTGAAAATTCAGTTTGATAAATTAGTTGATAATGAATTGCAGATAGTTATCCAAGCATGAAAAATCAATTTGAATGCATCTAAACAAATGATAATGAATTGCAGATAAATTAATTGAAAGCTTACATTCCAGATGAGTTGTGGGAGGGAACGAAACATCAGAGTGGTGAGTCCAATTAGAGAATCACCACTTCCAAACTGTAAACTCGTCAGAGTTGATAAGCCTTCATATCATCAAATTCATTCCCCAATTCGATTCCTCCAATGTCTTTGACAGCAAAGCAAAACATTATAATCAAAACCTAAAAGTTGTTTGGAGAACTTCGATTAATGGTAGACCAACCTGAGTCTCCTGCAATCCCTTTTTCATTTCCTACCCATCTAACATCAGATCCAGCATCTGAGAAAATTAAAAGGACAATGTACTTAGTGAAGATAAATAAGATACCAGTCATGAGCACTCTATTATTAAACTCAATAAACTATAATCTAAACATAAAAAGCTCATAACTTTCAAAGGAGAAGTGAAACTCAACAACTGCGACACCACTTCACTACCGTCGAAATAGCTTTGGCGAGCCATCATCGCAGATCCAGAAAACACAAATCACATTCCCATCATCACCATTGTCGGATTTGCAAGCTTTTTCGGTAAAACCGCGGATCTCGCCACCACAGTACCGCTGCAAACCTCTTCGACTGCACCACCTCCGCTGCACACTCTCTTTCCATTCGTGAAAAAACCAAGCCAACACCGTGCACTAATCGAAACACCGCCTCAGAATCCAAATGTAGAGTAGTTTTTAGGGTTTACATATCTTGTAATGGACACGATGAAGTTGATGTTAAAGATTAAAAATTACAGGTTATTCTTTTGTTGATATTTGTAGGAACACTAAAATTCCTGTCAAGAAAACAGAACTTTATTCTACAGTTTTCGATTACCGAACTTCTGTCTCCATTATTGTTTATGAGGGCGAGAGAGCAAGAGCTACCGACAACAACCAACTTGGTTCTTTTGTTCTTTCGGGGCTCCCACGTGCTCCTCGTGATATCCCAATAGAGGTCTGTTTTTCAATAGACGAAAATGGTATTTTGATTGTTTCTGCTAATGAAAAATCTACTGGTAGTCAAAATGAGATTACAATAACTAATGAAAAAGCAAGATTGACATCCACTGAAATTAGAGAAATGATCACCGAAGCTGAAAACTACCGTGTTGCAGATGAACAATTTCTGAAAAAGGCCAAAGAATTGTGTGGGATTTTGGATCGAACTCTAGTTGGTCGAAGTACTTGCTGTAGTCGAAGAAGGTTCTAGCATGTATTTGTCGAAGGATACTTGTCGAATTAGGTTTTAGTGTTTAAACCCTAATTTGTTAAGTTAGCTTGTTTGTTAAGTTAGCTTGTATAATGGGCCGTGTGGAAAAAGCCCATTAGTTAGTATGTTAGGTTTTATTATAAATAGGATACTAGTCTCTCATCATTGCCACAACACAGCAAATCCTAATTAGGGTGAGAGGGTTATTTGTTATTCTTGTAAACTTGTAATCTTGTTTTCAAAGAGAAAGTAAAGAATAGCAGTTATAACCAATTCTTGTGTTCTTCTTCTTCCTTGTTCTTTATTCTTCCCAAATACTATACTTTGTTATTGGCATTGAATTCACAACAAATTGGTGCGGTGAGCGTGGAGAAGATGCCTTCAACAAAGTATGAGATCGAAAAGTTCACCGGAGTGAATGATTTCGGTCTATGGCGCTTGAAGATGAAAGCTCTACTGGTTCAGCAGGGTTGTTTGGAAGCGTTGAAGGGAGCGACGGCGATGGACGCTGCGCTAACAGAAAGAGAGAAGACGGCCATGATCGAGAAAGCACACAGCGCAATTTTGTTGAGCCTTGGTGATAAGGTTCTTCGACAGGTATCAAAGGAGACGACGGCATCAGGGTTATGGGTGAAACTTGAAAGTTTGTATATGACCAAATCTCTGGTAAATCGACTCTACCTGAAGCAAGCTTTGTATTCATTCAAGATGATCGAAGACAAAGTGTTGGCTGAGCAGTTGGATATGTTCAACAAGCTGATTCTTGATCTTGAAAATATTGATGTAAAGATTGATGATGAAGATCAAGCGTTGTTATTGTTGTGCGCTTTGCCCAGATCACATGCTCACTTCAAAGAAACCCTCTTGTATGGAAGAGAGTCCCTGACCTTTGAAGAAGTTCAATCAGCCTTGTACTCTAAGGACTTGAACGAACGTAAAGAGCATAAACCTTCGACGGTTGGTGAAGGTTTGGCTGTTAAAGGAAAATTCGACAAGAAGAAAGGTAAAAATCAGTCGAAGTCTTATAGTGGTGACACATCTGGTATTAGATGCTATCACTGTAAGAAAGTAGGTCACACAAGAAAGGTGTGCCCTGAACGCCTGAAAGATCATGGAGGTAAGGATAATGGCAATGCAGCTATTGTCCAAGATGATTTCGAATCATCTGATGTTCTTGTGGTTTCAAGCAACAACTCGTCGAAGGAGTGGATTATGGATTCTGGATGCACTTGGCACATGACTCCAAACAAAGACTTGTTCGAGGAATTATGTGATCAAGATGGTGGATCTGTATTGCTGGGAAACAACAAAGCTTGCAAGATTGCAGGCGTTGGATCTGTGAGATTCAAGCTCCATGATGAGTCAATAAGATTGTTGACTGAAGTCAGGTATGTACCTGATTTGAAGAGAAATTTGATTTCTCTTGGTGAATTCGACAAGAAAGGATATGTTTTTCAAGGAGAGAAAAGTATCCTGAGAGTCATGAAAGGGTCGAAGGAAGTCTTGAGAGGCGTGAAGAAACAAGGCTTGTATACCCTTGAGGCTGAAGTTGTAAGTGGTTCGACAAATGTTGCATCCACGAAACCTTTGTCGAAGACAGAAATTTGGCACATGAGATTGGGCCATGTCAGTGAAAGAGGTCTGGTCGAATTAGGGAAACAAAATCTGCTTGGTGGAGATAAAGTCGAAAAGCTGAAGTTTTGTGAACCCTGTGTACTTGGAAAGTCCTGTAGAATGAAGTTCAACAAAGGCAAACAAAGAACACATGGATCCCTTGATTACATCCATGCTGATCTTTGGGGGCCTGCAAGGTGTCCATCACATTCAGGAGCAAGGTATTTTCTATCCATAGTAGATGACTATTCCAGAAAGTTATGGGTATTCATCCAGAAGACTAAGGATGAAACTTTTGAGAATTTCAAAAGTTGGAAGACTCTTGTCGAAAATCAAACTGGCAGAAAGGTAAAGAGGTTGAGAACCGACAATGGCCTTGAGTTTTGCAATGAGGCGTTCGACAGTTTTTGTGTTGCCTCTGGTATTGCAAGGCACAGAACTACCGCAGGTACTCCACAACAAAATGGTTTGGCTGAAAGGTTTAATCGAACTATTTTGGAGAGAGTTAGATGCATGTTGACTAGTGCGGGATTAAAGAAGGTGTTTTGGGCTGAGGCTGTTTCGACAGCAGCATATCTGATAAACAGATGTCCTTCGACAGCGTTAGATATGAAGACACCTGAAGAAGTTTGGTCGGGACATCCACCAGATCTCGACAAACTAAGAGTATTTGGCTGTGTAGCCTATGCTCACATTAGGCAAGACAAGGTCGAACCTAGAGCTCTGAAATGCATGTTTATGGGATACCCTGAAGGAGTAAAAGCTTATAGGCTATGGTGCCTAGAGCCAGGTCACAGGAGGTGTATCACCAGTCGAGATGTAGTTTTCAATGAAACGGAAATGGCTTTCAAGAAAACTGATGATGTTGACGAAGAGCTGGAACAGGTAGAGATTCCTGTTGAGGTGGAGCATGTTGATGCTGAAATGCGTATCCCAGATGAAGTCGAAGAAGAAACAGAAGATTCTGATGATGTTGAGGAAACTGTTGATGACTACCTATTGTCGAGAGATAGGCAACGAAGAGTCATAAAACCACCTCAGAGACTTGGATATGCAGATCTTGTAGCTTATGCCTTAATCTCTGCAAGTGAAGTTCTAGACGAAGAACCTAGAGATTATAAGGAAGTTATGAGGAGTCGAAGGAAGACTGAATGGCTAAAGGCCATGCATGATGAGATGAAATCTCTTCATGATAATCACACTTGGGAACTGATCAAGAAACCTGTTGGGGCAAGGTTAGTCAGCTGTAAGTGGATTTTCAAAGTTAAGGAAGGAATCGAAGGAGTAATGTCGAAGAGGTACAAGGCAAGATTAGTCGCAAGGGGTTTCACTCAGAAAGAAGGTGTCGACTTCAATGATGTATTTTCCCCTGTTGTGAAGCACAGATCCATTCGAATGTTGCTTGCCATGGTGGCTCAGTTCGACCTTGAACTGGAACAAATGGATGTGAAGACTGCGTTCTTGTATGGTGACTTAGACGAAACAATCCTGATGAGGCAACCTGAAGGGTATGTCGAAAAGGGGAAAGAAGATTATGTGTGCAAACTGAAGAAATCTTTATATGGACTTAAACAATCTCCTCGACAGTGGAATAAGAGATTCGACAAGTTCATGGAACACATAGGTTTCATTCGAAGTCAGTTCGACCATTGTGTTTACTCCAGATTTCGACCTGAAAATTCATTTGTTATTTTGTTGCTTTATGTTGATGATATTCTGATAGCAAGCAACAATGTCGAAGATGTAATGAGGGTGAAGGCTGAACTCAATAAGGAGTTCGACATGAAGGATCTGGGAGCTGCATCTAGGATTCTTGGAATTGACATTCGAAGAAATAGAAAGCAGTCGAAATTATGCTTATCTCAAGAGGCATACCTACGAAAGATTCTTGACAAGTTTGGTATGTCGAATTCAAAGCCTGTTGTGACTCCAACAAACCCTCAATTCAAGCTGAGCATTGATCAATGTCCCAGTACTGATGTTGAAAGAACTTATATGAACAGCATTCCATATGCTAATATAGTTGGTTCTTTGATGTATGCTATGGTCTGTACTAGACCCGACATAGCATATGCAGTAAGTCTTGTAAGCAGGTACATGGCGAATCCTGGAAAGGCTCACTGGCAAGCGTTAAAGTGGATTCTAAGGTACATAAATGGGTCTCTGAACAGAGTCTTAATTTATGGTGGAGCCTTGGGTGAAGATAGTAAAGCAGCTGTCGAAGGCTATGTTGACTCTGATTATGCAGGTTGTATGGATTCTAGAAAATCTATTTCTGGATATGTTTTCACTATGTTTGGTACAGCAATTAGTTGGAAAGCAACTCTTCAGAAGGTTGTTGCCTTATCAACTACTGAAGCAGAATATATTGCCCTAACTGAAGCTGTGAAAGAAGCATTGTGGCTTGAAGGTTTTGCAAAGGAGCTGAAACTTCAAGGTCAAGGTATCACTGTTAAATGTGATAGTCAAAGTGCAATACACCTGTCGAAGAACTCAGCCTATCATGAGCGAACCAAGCACATAGATGTGAGGCTGCATTTCGTCAGAGGGGTAATCGAGCGTGGAGAAGTCCAAGTGCTGAAGGTCTCGACAGATCACAATGCTGCTGATATGATCACCAAAACATTGCCAAGTTGCAAGTTTTTCCACTGTATGCAGTTGATAAAGCTGCATGAAGAAAGCTAGTTAGTGTCTCTTGATGCTGTAGAGTTAGGTCCAAGGTGGAGATTTGTGGGATTTTGGATCGAACTCTAGTTGGTCGAAGTACTTGCTGTAGTCGAAGAAGGTTCTAGCATGTATTTGTCGAAGGATACTTGTCGAATTAGGTTTTAGTGTTTAAACCCTAATTTGTTAAGTTAGCTTGTTTGTTAAGTTAGCTTGTATAATGGGCCGTGTGGAAAAAGCCCATTAGTTAGTATGTTAGGTTTTATTATAAATAGCATACTAGTCTCTCATCATTGCCACAACACAGCAAATCCTAATTAGGGTGAGAGGGTTATTTGTTATTCTTGTAAACTTGTAATCTTGTTTTCAAAGAGAAAGTAAAGAATAGCAGTTATAACCAATTCTTGTGTTCTTCTTCTTCCTTGTTCTTTATTCTTCCCAAATACTATACTTTGTTATTGGCATTGAATTCACAACAAATTGAATGCATTAGATTACTGTGTTTACAAGATGAAGAATGCTTTAGAGAAGAAGGATATGAAACTAAAGCTGTCTTCACAAGAAATTGAGAAGATCAATTCTGCAATTAGTAAGGCCACACATTTGCTTGATATTAACCAGCAGAGTGAAATAAGTGTTCTTGAAAATCATCGGAATGAGTTTGAGAGTCTGTTGCGGTTGGTTATAGGCAAATCTGTCTAGTTTTTTTGTTCTGTCAATTGCTATTTTAAGTGTTAAACTTTATTCCTGCTATTCTAAGTATTAGACTCGATTTCTATTCTATTTTTGTTTTGGCAACTGCTGTTTCAAGTGAGCGAAATTGTAGTAACTATTGTGCTTGCATATTAGTACTATTTGTTTTTGTGGTTTATTTACTTGAGCTTTAAATCTGAATCTGCCAAAATAAATATAAAAAAAGAAGAAGGATTTTGACTGTTTACTGCACACAATGGTAACTGATTTAAGTTATATTTATAACAACGTCTAAGTTATAGCTAAGGTGTAAACAACTAGTATGTATAAATTATTTTTATCCGAAAATGAACAAGTATAAAACCATGTTCAGTTTGCCTTCAAGCTTGTGATGATGATGATAATAATAATAATAATGATAATAATAATAATAATAATAATAATAATAATAATATTTTTGTTGGAACAAAGCTTGTAAGATAAATCAATTGTGAAATATGGTTAATTGAAGAAGATGAAATGAATGTAATTTGCAGAGAGAATTAAAAGAGTAATTGAGGAAAAAAGTTTATTATGGCATTAACATCAAAATATTACAATAGGGGAGTATATATAGGATACTAAAAAAACATGTTGGAACCAATGCAGGCTCATAATACAACAAAAAAACTCAAAAACACAGGAAGAAAATCGATTTTGTAAAAGGGGATAATCGATTTCCTCAACTAAAAATAGAAAAAACAGAAAACAAAAAACAGTGGTGGAAATCGATTTCACCATTAAGGGTAATAGATTTCCATTTCGCAAATTCCAATTTTCTGCTTTTCAGAAGTGCTTTTCTGAAGCTGTTTCGATGCAATATTTTCGAAGCTTTCATACTGCATTTGAATTATTCTAAACTTCTAATACACCACCTTACTTCAAATGATCAAAGTTCTTCATGCCAAAGCTCATCACAAGCTTCTTGAACACCACATTTGTTACACCTTTCATTAACAAATCTGTAACTTGTTCTTCGCTTCGACAATATCCTAACCCTAGCTGGCCTGCACACACCAAATCCCTCAAGTAATGAAAATTTCATCTCAATATTTTTGCTCCTCCGATGTGCTATGGAATTCCTTGCAAGATTAATGACTGAAACATTATCAACCAAGAGTGTGACAACTTCTTCAACCTTACTGCCCTACTCTTCCAGCAGATTCACAAGCCACATAGCCTGACACGCACACAACAATGTAGCGATATACTCGGCCTCACAAGAAGAGAGTGCCACCAAAAATTCTTTTTTAGAACACCAAGAGATTGGAGCTCCTCCGAACATAATTACATAACCGGTCGTAGACTTTCGATCGTCCTTATCTCCGCACCAATGGGAATCTGTGTAACCGAACAACACGCATTTTCTCTCTGTATCAGCTGCGGGAAAGAGAATTCCACATCAAGAGTTATTTTGTTGTATCTTAGGATCTTCTTAACTGCTGCCAAGTGAGACATCTTTGGTCTCTCCGTGAATCTACTTACAATACCGACACTAAACGTCAAATCTGGACGCGTATTGCACAAGTAACATAATGATCCAATCAATCTCTTATATTGTGTTGGATCCACCTTCTGCTCATTATCACTCTTGGACAACTGTAACCTTGCTTCAGCAGGTATATTGGCAGCATTACAATGCTTCATATTACACCTTTTCATGAACTCAACATATTTTCTTTGATGCATGAGCAGTCCCAATTTTGACTTGTGAAACTCTATGCTAAAAAAGTAAGTTATAATTCCAAGGTCACTCATTTCAAACTCCTTCATAAGTTCACCTTTGAACTTAGAAATACCCACTTCATTGCTGCTTGTGATCAATAAGTCATCCACATATAAGCAAAGTATGATCACATATTTGCTTGCATTCGTCTTCACATAGACACCATGTTCGAAAACACACTTTTTGAATCCAACTTCAACTAGGAGACAATCAATGTGTTTGTTCTAAGCTCTAGGAGTTTATTTCAAACCATAAATCACTTTCTTCAATTTTTAGACCCTTCCCTCTTGATTCATCACAGCAAAACCAGGGGGTTATTCTACATAAACTTCCTCCTCAAGTGGACCATTCAAAAACGCCGATTTCACATCCATTTGATAAATCGATCAATTGTTGTTATTCACAATACCAATAATCAGTCGTATGGTTTCTATTCTAGCTACAAGTGCAAACACCTCATCATAGTCTATATTTTCTCTTTGCAAGAATCCTTTTGTAACTAGTCGAGCCTTATGCTTGACAATTTCGTCTTTTGGATTTGCCTTCACTTTATAGAACCATCTCACTCCGATCGGCTTTTTTCGTTTCGGTAGATCAACCCGCTCCAAAGTACTGTTTTTCTCAATTGATTCCAGCTCCTCTTTCATCGTACACACCTACTTTGGATCACTTAATGCCTCCTTCGTGCCCACGAGCTCGAATTCGGTCATAAGCGAAAAGTGAATAAAATCACCATCATTGTTGATCTCATTATCATGGAATAATTCATAATCTTGGAGCCTCTGAGTTAGACCTCTCCTCCTTGTTGGCCGTCTACTGGATTCATCATTTTTTATTTCAACCGGCTGTTGCACAAGACCTGCAGAATCTAGATTTTCTGCATTTTTCTGTGGAAATTGATTTCCAGAAAGTGGGTAATCGATTTTCCATTCTGAAAAACCACTTCCAGCAGCTTCATTATGCAAAAATCGTGAAGGATATCGATTACCTTCATCTAGGAAATCGATTTCCTCAACTGTCATGGCCTTTTTTCTACTGTCAAATAACCTTATCTCATCCACTACCACATCTTCACTTATTACAATCTTCTTGCTTTTCACATCAAACAACTTGCGACCTCTGGTAGTATGATAACCAACAAGCAACATTATTTCAACCTTGCCATCTAACTTCTTTCGAAGCTTACCCGAAATATGTCGAAATACTACCGAACCAAAAACTTTCAAATGAGTTAAACTTGGTTTAAATCCAGACCATACCTCTTCTGGAGTCACCTTGTCCAACTTCTTTGTAGGGCACCTATTCAACAAATAGGTGGCTATAGAAACGACTTCTTGTAACACCCTTCTAAACCCATATATATTTCGCATATAATTTACGAAAATAATTCAAATAAAACCACCAACATGGGTGTCACATCTTCATATAAACATCATACAATACATCCTGCTTCGTAACACAAGTTTTCAAAATCAATTATAACGAATACTTCATTAATAACAACAATGACACTTCAACTAATCGCAGTGGAATTCATAATTTCAAAACACTTTTATTAAAATACTTCACAGAAGTTTCATCATACTTCATCGTTCATAATTCTTATTTCAAATAACTCAAATACCATGAAAGGTAGTTTAAATCTCAATATAACTAAAAGAACATAATTATTCCAATCAAACTATCCCAACCCCGATATTACATATCAGAGAAAGACCCACTTTATTCAACAAAAAATAAATAACACACTCTGAAGCTATCATCTAAGCTTCAACAAACTATTTCCGATTACCTGCAAGTTACCCACATATAGAGGCAACATTTCCAAGCAGAAAGGGTGAGTAATCACAAATTATTATAAAAGGTATATGGAATAAATATAGTAGTACAACAACAGATCATCATGGATTCTACATATCATCATACTTCATATATTATACTCACACTTTCACATCATCAATACACATAAATTATATCAGTATATCATTATATCATCACATTAACACCTATCAACAAACACCGCTGGGATCACAACATCATCAACATCACTTAATAAATCATTATGCAATGTCAAATATAATTCAATGTAACATCATTGAATCATATGTGTGGTACCAAACTTCACTGATGACCAAGTCATCTTCCTCCAAAGATCCCCACCATAGGATCGATTCCCACTTGGAACCAGAGCACTTCACAAAATACACCCAATCTACACCATAGGATTGAGGTCGTCACTCGACTAACGTCCCAATAATCATCACTGGACCAACGTCCTAACATCAATGGGCCAACACCCTAATATATGCCATGAATGCATGATGCGCATTAACATAATAAAACATGACCACTGCTAGTCAAAACGCATCATCCTTTATATAATCATCATATAATTATCTTCACACGTCATGTATGCACATCAAACATATAATTATCATCTTCATTCATTATAACAGCATCAATCACCTCATAATACAACATAGCAACATCAATTCATCATTTATACATACATCATAATAAATCAATCACCGAATCATCCAATCCATCAAATCATAGTTAATGGAAAATACATCATATGGTTCATTATACCATACATAATTATACTTCATTGTGTTAGCTTTCTAACACTTCGAACGACGCATCAAACAGAGTCTTGAAACTCAAGTTACGACACTTTAAAAATCATGTCTACTGCCCCTCGCCCGGCGAAGCAGCTTGCTCGCATGAGGCTCGCCTGGTGAGGCTGGGGGAAAAATACCTTCCCCCATACAAAATTCCAGGAGCGCTATTTTTCCATCACCTCTTTCGCCCGATGACCTCTTCGTTCGCCCGACAAAGATGGAGCTAAACACCTCCTCCATATATTTTCCAGAACCTGCCAAAAATCACCCCCCTCTCTCTCTCTCCTCACTCTCGCACCGCGAAGTCTGGGTGAATATGCTTCGCCTGACAATTTGGGAAGCTCGCCTGAGGAGGGTTTGGATGTTGGTGTAAGCCCTAGAGGCCAATACTTTTGGTACTTGTATTGAATTATTTATTAATAATAAAAGGCATTTCTTTATTATGTTTGCTTTCCAAAATAATAAAGTCCCTAGAATGGTTTATTTGTTTAGTGAAATGTTAAGTGTGACTTAATCATGAGATCCCATTAAACATAAGACACTATTCTTAAAGTATCCATAGTCAAGCTTTAATGTGAAGTGGGATAACATTAAAGCATTAAGATTATTATTAAGATAGATTG